CGGCCCACGCTGCGCCTGGGCTGGGACTGGTCCCGCCGGCGCAGGGTAGCAGGAAACTCTCCGCACACTCACCGGACCTGGGCTAGGACTCCCTTGCTGTTTTCAAGTCCACAGAGCATGGTCTTCTGTTGCTCACTTAGATTTAGTTCTTCCTTCTCTCTCCACCTCTTTCTGCATCCATCACATATGTGATGTGGGCCGAGACAGGACACAAACCCGAAAGCATAATGTATGCATTAATTTTTGAGGCCATTAGAATAAATCCACACAAATCTGGTGGTTCAAAAAAAACAGAAAACTATTCTCTCACAGTTCTGTGCTGGGATGCGGCCTCTGAGCCCTGTCAGCTGATGGTGGAGTCCTGGGGTTCGGGCCACACCCTTCCCACCCCTGCCTCCTCCTCCACAGCCTTCTGTTTTTATGGCTCCTCTTTGTGAAATCTTCTGCCTATTTTTTAGAAGAGACTCGCAATGGCGTTTGTGGCCTCCACAGCTAATCTGGGACTGCCTACACACTGCAGAAGCCTTAGTCGCATCTGCAGAAATTCTTTTGCCAAGTAGAGAAATGTGTACAGATTCCAGGGCTTAGGACCTGAGGTTTGGGTGAGCACTATTCAGCCTACTACGAGTCACGTGCCGGGAGTGCTCTCTCTCCTGATGTTTCACCCTCAGCAGTGCTCACGGAGGCAGTTTGGCAAGCAGCTGACAAGGCAAGGGCAGCGCCTGGTGTGTGCATTCGTGCCGGGAGCACCATGGTGCCTGCTGGCTGAGGAACTGGCTGGTCACTGGAGAGAGATCAGCCTGACCCCTAACAGGCTCAGTCCCAGACAGGGGAAAGGCCAGCCACACTGTGCTGGTGCTAGAAGATTGGGCAGCCTTGACTGGAGGAGCTTGGGATGCCCCTGACTCAACTCTGCTGTGATCCTGGGGGACACGTAGGGAATCCCCAAAAGTCAGGCAAAAAAAGTTCCAGACCAAAGATTGGCTGGGGGCAGATGCACTTGGAAATCTGGATGGGAGGCTGAGGAGCAGTGGAGGGGAATGGCTGGACTCGGGCCAGGCAGAGCCACTGAGCAGGGATCCCCCCGCGGGAGAGGGGAGGAGAAAGCTGAGTGCCCCGGATGAGGCTGAAAGCACCACAAAGTCTGCGAATGATGGAGAAGTTGGTGCGGTTGGGGGAGTTGTTTATCCCTCTATTCTGTGTCTGTATGATAAAAATCATAGTGGCCAAAGACTCCCCAGTATCCTCTGCCAAGCTGGCAGTTTTCTTTGCCATTTGCTCATGCAGACCCCTGGAGCCCTGCCAGGAAGTGATTGTTATGTAAATTATGTGGCCTTGGAGTCCTGAAATCACTTACCATACATAATGGTTAATGATTAAATCATGTAAATTTGGTATGGTTTAAAACAAAAATCAATCCTCTTCCTATATTTAGAAATACTGTCTTGGAAAACGTAACCTAAAAGCTTCTCACGTTTGAGAAACAAAGGCCGCACAGGGGCTGCCTGCGCAGGCAGGGAGAAGATGCTCCGGGAGAGTTTAGGCTCCGCTTTTGTCTCGCTGCTACAGCTGGCAGGTCTCATAGATGGCTTCACAGGGACAGATGGAGGAGAGACGCAAAGGCCACCAGCCCCCACCCCAGCAAGAGCAGTCACTGTGTGCCTAGCTACTGGCCTTGGTCAGGGGACACAGGAAGTGGAGGTACTGAATAATGGAGACGTGTTGCTGTAATATTCAGTCAGTATTAAAATGTCGTGCTGCTGGTGGCGCCATGGGCCGCCCAAGGCTTCCGCGTGCCTTTTATTGAAAAGGATAATAACTCCTGGGAGGCGCAGTTCCCTTATGTGGTTGACACCCCAATGTCACTCCAATTTGAGTGTTTCTTTGTGGTGCTGGTGATGGTGAGTTTTATATCTAGATTCACATCACAGAGCCCCTGGAGAGAAGTAAATTTATTGACTCTTCCAACTTTTAGGAAAATAGCAGAAAGAAGTGGTGGATCCAATCAGGGTTAAAATAAAAAGCTCATTTTACTACCGTGGTAGTAAGTGCTATTATCTTTGCTTCCCATAGAGTAAAATAAATTTAATTTTTACATACTCACCAAAGGCCCAGCTCTGCTTTTTCAAGGTAAGGACATATCTAGCTCACACTATCCAAAAGCTTCAGAACCTCTGAATGATTGTGCAATGGGCTTGCTTTGTGGCCACCAAGGGTTGACAGTATAGCTGCCTTCTGCTGGGGGAAAGACCAAGATGCTGGCTGCTGCTCTATACTGTTGCCCTGTGACTTAGACAGATGCGACCTGGCAATAGGGAGGAGGCATACTACTTGTCCCTGTATTCTGGCCAGGGATTATTGGGATCTGAGAACTACCGGGCTTACGGGAGCTCTGGAAGGGTTTGCTGGGTCCTAAGCTAGTCAGACATTTCCCAGCCTCATTTATTAAAAGATTCTCCTACCCAAAGCCTGGTGATTCTTTACCCCCCACTCAGTGTGTGCTGTTGCTTGTTCCGCTCACTTAGGGAATTAAATATCTTCAGCTTTTTAGGTGTTGTTTGATTTTTGAAAATTCTAGCTGGAATTTTACAGACACATTCTCATTAGAAAAAGTGTGTAGGGAATGAGCTGATGTAGAAGCCGGGAACCTGGGTGTGGATTCCCCTGTCCAAGGCCGCCTCCAGGATCCAAGTGTTAAATCATTACCGGAGTACCTGCAGCACAGACACAGATGACAAGGAGTAGATTGCCAGCAGGTGCTCCCTGCTTTCTCCCCTGCTTCAGCTCAGCATTTGCGCTGCCATTTATCAGCTCATTGAGCAACGTCTTGGGCACGCACAGTGCGTTCAGTGCCTAAGGAGGAACCCACGTGTGCAGCGGCTTGCAGCGGGTTTTCTGTGTGTCATTTCTTCATTTCTTAACTAATGTGTACCTCCAGCTGTTGTCAGAAACAGTTTGAGATGGCCTAGAGTAGCAGTACACATACCCACGGGGGCGCAAAGGTAGGAGAGGAACCCCGACGGCGTCCTAAGCCGGGGACAGTCCACTTGGGCTGCGTTAGAAGACCTGCTGAGGCTCCGAGGTTCATGATAGGAAAGGCAGAGGGTCGGCATGAGTGACGCATGCGTGTGTATCTGTGCGTGGTATATACGTGTGTATTTAGGTAGTAAGAACATCTGTTGAAAGGTAGGCTTTACCTAGAATCTATAAAGGGGAAATGAGCAAATTTAGAGAACATTCTTTAAATTCAAAGTTGATTATTGAAGTTAATGAAGATCGACAAATGTGGCGTTCTTGGGGGGTTTCATGTCTCATTTAAAATGGGAATCATCGTTCGCGATTGATGGGATAGTGTATTGGCCGTGACCTTTAGTTCTGTAACAAACACCTTGCCGAAGGGCCAGTCCCGCCCGCGTTGCTCACTGGGACTGAGTCGACGTCATTTTCAGGAAAGTGATCAGAGTTAAGATTAGAGTGGTGGCCCCCATGGTGCTGTGTGTTTCCAGATTTCTGAAATAAATATGACAAGGACCATCCATCTGGTGAATGATTTCACACCCAGTCACTGCGGAAGGAAGTTTCCTTTTCAGGAATTTCAGCATGAAAGTGAAATTTATATTGATAATGGCTAAAAAGTTTTTAAAAAAGTAGCAGAAGTGGTGTGCCGAGTTTTCTCACTTGCCCACTCTGTTTCTGAGTTAGACTGAGTTGAAAAAGTAACTCTGCTGACTTAGTGCAGCGCTGCGCCCAAGCTTCGGCAGGGTCGCGGCCTCCTGCGGTGTTGCACAGGTAAAGGCCCGTCCTCCCCGCAGACCCGTCTATATGTGACTAGCGAGGGAACGTCACAGTGCCCTGTCTTGCTCTAGGACCGAGGAGCCAGGGTTTGGTTCTCTTGGGTGAAGAAGTGGCTTCTGTGGCCTCCCATCTGCAGCCTGTGCCTTGGTTCCAGGGGCGTGTGGGCGCGAGCAGAGGGGCCTCTGGTCTCTGATTCCCCTCTGTGCTTTGCCTGGCAGGAGCACCTGATCGAGAATGAAGTGTCCATACTGCGCCGAGTGAAGCATCCCAACATCATCATGCTGGTTGAGGAGATGGACACAGCAGCTGAGCTCTTTCTGGTCATGGAATTGGTCAAGGTAGGAGGAGAGAGAGTTTCCAGACTCGCAGAACTCCTGGAGGGCCTAATGAGGAGAATGTCAGGCGCCCCAGATGACAGCTTCATTGTTTATCAGTGGTGTGAGTGGAGCTCATGGCCCTTCCTTGGTCGGCCCGCGCTGGGGACCCGCTGCCTCACCTTCACAAGACTGCATGCTCATGCTCTGATGTGTCCTTTCGTGAATGCTGCAGGGTGGAGATCTCTTTGATGCGATCACTTCTTCGACCAAGTATACCGAGCGGGACGGCAGTGCCATGGTGTACAACCTCGCCAACGCTCTCCGATACCTCCATGGCCTGAGCATAGTGCACAGGGACATCAAGCCGGAGAACCTCTTGGTACGTCTCCTCTGCTTCTCTGTTCTAGCTCATGGCCCTGCTCCTTTAAAAGTGCTCATCAGTTCGTGCAGTCATGCAGGAATGGAGGTACGTTATGGCCTGAAGCAGTCCTGCAGTGAGAGTTAAGCAACTACAGGAGATCAGCATGGCTTCAGTCAGTGACCTTAGCTGGTGGGCTTCAGCAGTAATCTCTGTTGATCTTCTCTCAGACAGTAGAAAATACATTTTCATTTGTTTTGGTTCTTTTCATTTGTTTTGATCAGTGATTGTATTAGTTTCCTATTACTGTAATTACATGCTTGAAATATTACAAAGAGCAAAGGTTTATGTTGGCTGTATGGTTTTGGAGGCTTGGTCAGGTTAGGCAGAGTCATTGTCTTGGGCCTCGGGTGGGCATGCTGGGTGGCAGTGATGGGGAGCATGTGGCAGACAAGTTTGTGTACCTCGCCAGCGAGCAAGCCAAGAGAGCAGGAAGGAGCTGCCCCAGAGTCCCCCCAAGGGCTCACCCTCTGTGACTGCGGAGACCCCGCAGGCTTCACATCCTGAAGGTCCTGCTTCTAGACAGACTTGCTGTTGGATCCAAGCTTTTGGGGCACCTGCGGCCCCAGGCATTAACGCTGAGTGGGGCAAGCAGGGTCATAATGAAGAAACATGCAGAAGAATTAGTTGAAGATGGGAAGTAGAGGCTCATGGGAGGCAGAAGTAGAACATGGAAGTTCACTTATGTGGAGGAGAGAGTCTGGGAAATAGTCTAGTCCATCCATCACAGTTTTATGTGGAACCTGAGACCAAGAGATGCTCATTTTTCTTACTTGAAAGTCATTTTCCCTGTTCTTCTACCAAAGAAAAAGCTGTATTCTGCCATGACAAAGCATGAAAGTCAGGCCACGGTGTTCACTTCCCAGAACACTTCTCACCGCTGACCATGCAGTGCCCGTCAGCCCCTTTACTGTCTAAGTGTAGCCAGGGCCCTCACTGCAGAGGTGACGGGGCATTCTCCAGTCGAGGCTGGGGCTCCGCGTGGTGTTGGTGAGGAAGCCCGGACTTCCTGCTCTCACTGGATCCTGGCCCCAGCAGGTTCAGTCACCTGAGGGCCACAGCTGGGAGGTGACTGGTTACTGTGGAGACCGACTAGTCCAACAGTGCTGGTTGCTCAGGCCCAGAAGCAAGGACACTGGCATCAGGGAACTTCCTGTCCACATGGAGAGTCCCTTTCCGTGCCCACTCACCCCACCATCAACCCCTGCCTTCTTTTCCTGTTTTTTTGGCTGCTGCTGTTTTCGTCATGCTGGGGCTGGAACCTAAGCTCTCATATGTGCTAAGCAAGGGTTCTTCCCGCCGAGCACACCACTGGCTCTCTTAATGTGGCAAAGTCGCCTCCGGATCCCACACTCTCTCCTTTTGTTCTGCATCATGGCAGCAAAGAGAGCCATCGGTCTGTGTCTCCGAACACACGTGACCGGGAGGTCAGAACCGAGTCCCTCCTCTCATCTGGGGTTCACTGACCTCTTGTGCTGCCCACAGGGGGAGGAGGAGAGAGGCATTCAGTCTGACCCCACTGCGGAAGCTCTGGAAACAGCCTTAGTTACGCGTCCTTGAGGACTGTAGGCATTGCCCATTGAGGCCTGGCTGGAGCGCAGGTTCCACTCTGGGTTTAGCCGGCAAGCTGGCATTGGCCCTGGAGGAGAAGGTACCATTGAGACACTGACAGCACAGAGCTAGAGTAGCTGTCGGCACCTTCCTGTCTAAGAACTAATTCAGTTTAAACACCAACACATTGAGGCATCTGATTTGCATCCACTTCCCTGGCAGTGGTGTCATAATTTAAGCCCCTGCCTGTGGAGATGGATGGGTCGCCGTGTCAGGGAGCAAGGGGGTGGCTGTTACGGCTGTGAGTTACAGCCCTGATGGTGCCCTGTCAGAGTTAACTAGGAGAGGCCAGTGATAAATTCTGCTTTTCTGGGAGGTGTGGGAACGGGAGAGAAGAGAGTTGGTTTCTCACATTCTGAGTCCTTCTAAATCAGTATGTTGACATTTTATTGAGAGAACATGGGTTGCCCACTTTGGATGTGGGACCTACATTCTGCATTTTTTTATTTTTGCATTCTGAGAGCAACTTTCACTGGAACATCATCTGAGCCCCCAGGGCTGGGTTCTCACTGGTGAGTTTTGGAATCCACTCAGAGTCAACATGCACGGGCAGGCTATAGCCGGGCTTCGGGCAGGTCTGCCCACCAGCTGAGTCTTTTCAGATTTAGACTCAGCTCCAAGTGGTGAGGGTTCTGGCTGCAAACTCTGCTTGGCCACTTGAGAGTGACTTGTGTGCCTCGGTTTCATCCTGCATAAGGAGCAGGTAGCAGTTCTGGTTGCCTGGTGGGGTCCCTGGAAAACTCTAGTGAGAGGCTGTGTGGGAGAATATGTCCATTTCCAGAGTCTGAGGATGTCAGTTACTGGAGTCCCACGCCCCTCACTCCTGAGAGAGCTGAATAACTTCTCAGGGGGCTGGGGTGGAGCCCAGGACCTGCGGCTCCAGGCAAGTGCTTCCCGTGGGCCACACCCCCGCCTGGCATCCACTCTGTAAAGCACGGGCCTGTGTGTCTCTGTGTCCTTGCAGAGAAGCAGTGTTAGTCTAATTTTCCTCCCTGCTTTTGAAGAGAATCTCCAGTGCAGACCTGAAATGTCCTCATATTTTATGTATTTGTTTCTGTGTCTAGCATCAGGGAGAGATGAATCAGATAAAATATTATTATTTCAGGCTTGTCTGCCCCCAATGACACTTCCTTTTGACGTTTAGCCGAGGGTACCGCTTGCCCAGACATAATTCAGCGACTATGGACTGCTCAGTCACTTTCTATTTATGCCTCTGCATCTGACTCTGAATTCTTTATAGGGGAGATGAAAAATGGAGCCTCAGGGATTTCTGGGTATCTGACAACAAGCCCTAAAGACCCCTAGGCATCTCCAAATTGAGTGCTTAAAATAAACCCTATTTTTCAGGAATGGCACCTAATGAGTGGGGTTTTTGAGTTGTGAAAACACAAGAGCAGTGGTAAGACTCTGTGACTCACTTGTGACTCCCGTGCAGCAGAGGTTTAGGAAACTGCGCTGCCGCCATTCTTATCGCTGCAGTTACTTAGGACTTGTCTTTCTCCTGTCTGAGTTTTGGTAAATGCACCATAAATCCTAGCTGTAATTATATCAGATTGTTCTGCTCCATGTTTACATTCAACCTAATGGATGGGAAGTCAGCCTAGGCCCGCAGCATGGCCAAGAGGCTGCGCTGTGACTTCAGTGTCTCTGAATCATTAATGTCTCTGAGTGTGAGTCTGCTGTCAGGGGCAGCCTCAGAAGGGGCTCAGAGAGAGACTCAGTGTCCTTGCCCTTATTCTCGCGACCGTTTCCTGTCATGAAGCTGTACACTGGGCAGGTGCTGTGTGCATGTGTGTGCTGTGCTTAATCGTGGGCAAAGCTGCGGAGCGTCGTGGGTAGCCGCGGGTCTCGTGTCCTCACCTGGGCCCCTTCTCAGGCTGCTGGGCCCCACCTCTGCTCAGTGTCACAGTTCCTGAGAGCTGGGGCGTTACTGGCATGTGGAACCTGGAGGTCTTAGTGTTTTATTGATGATAAGTACATAAATCTCTCTCTTTCCTGAGATATGGGACTCATAGAGCTTGCTGTTAACATTAAAAAAAAAATAGGATTTTCTGAATTGTTTACTTTCTTTAGTTAGTGGTTGAGGTGAAAATCTGGTCTAATATCGGGAAAAGAAAAATAATATATTTAAAGATACAGAAGTAGATGTGAGTATAGATTAAGTCTCAGCCTTTGCTTTTTTTCCCTTGAATTATTGTCCGAGTGGACACCCAAGGGACCAGTAAGCTATGTCTGCAAGTTATTGGCTGCACAGCGAAGCCCGAATCTTGCTGTCACTTACACTTCTGTGCTTCCAGCATTCTGTTTGCAGTTGAAGCCTTTATTTCATAAGGACATTTTGCTTATACATGAAATGAATGTTTTTTAATTATAGAACCAGTATATGGTCATTAGAAACATCTTGAAAACTAGTAGAAAATACATAGAGGAAAATTGTAGTGATTCTCAGTGCTACCACACAGAGATAAATTTTTTAAACGTTTTTGAAGTATCACATTCCATGTACAATTTTAGTGGGTTTTTTACTTATGTACTTCAAAAAAAATTTTTTTTAATGTATTTGGTACAGAGTCTCACTACACAGCTCAGACCCATAGTGATCCTCCTGTTTTCAGCCTCCCCAGCGCCGGGACTACAGGTGCCATGCACCGCCACGCCCAGTCTCGGTGACTGGCTCAGCACACCTGGGGTAGGGGCCAGTTGGCCCGTGAAACCAGGGATCGAAGCCGGTTGTTGCACTAAGTGGGTGCTTAGTCCACTGAGCTATCTCACTGGCCCTTTACACTAGTGAATATCATGTGATAATATTTATTAGAACCTAGGTGGCATAGTGGTGCACGCCTGTAATCCTAGTACTCAGGAGGCTGAGGCAGAAGGATCGTAATGAGTTTGAGGCCAGCCTGGGCTACATAGTGAGTTTCAGGCCAACCTGAACTGTATAGGGAAAACTTGTCTCCAGAATTTTTTTTTATTTGATAAATGATTAGTAGCATCCACATAATATTTTCTGATGGGAATGCACCACGGTTTACTTAGCCACTGTTAGCCATTTGTGTTGCTTCCAGTTTTAAAGAATCCCAGGTAGGTTTTGATAGTGTCACGGTTTAGAGCCCCTGGGCCCAGCTCTGTTCCTTAGAGTTCCTCCTCAGAGATTTATTGGGTCAAAGATTATAAACAGTAGTAAGATTCGATCTATACTGCTTCCGAGAAATAGTGGTGCTTCCCAGTCTTCTCTAGCACTCAGCCTCGTCCAGCACGACAGCATCTACCCAGCCCTGCTCTGCTCTCTGACTCATTTGACTCTCGTGAGGAAGGTACTACTAGTATTCCCCACCTCCCAGGTGGACAGCTTGGTCAGAGAGCATAGGTAGCTTTCACGGGCTGTGTGCGCCCAGGAGACAAGTGGCTTTATGATTCAGATTCAGGCTGTCCCCTCCCAAAGCCCACTCACTTTTTATCCTTCCAGGGCCTTCTTCCCTAGCCACAGTGTTTGTCCTTGGCTGGGGACACAGGCCAGGGACAGGCACCTGCCTGGCTTGCCTGAGGCTTTGGGCTCCTGTGTCCCACACCACAGAAGGACAGGCGTGAAGTGTGCTTATTTCGTCAACCATCCAGGAAACAAGGCTGCCATCCCCACCCCCAACTTTGTCTCCTAAAGTCGAGGTGCAAGTCCCTTGGACAACACTCAGTGTACGGGGGGACACTGAACAAACACCCCTGCCCGGGCGGTTATGTAGCCCACACTCAGAACAGAGTGCAGCGCCCCTCTCTGCTGGGCTCTGAGTAATCACACACGGGAGCACACGCGGGATTCCTGGGTGGGATATGTCCTGCAGAGATGGAGAATAATGTCTTCCAAACCCCACACAGTCAAGCAGAACCTCAGAGCAATCGTGGTGTGACTACAACCGGGGACGTTTCTTAAGGGTGATTAAGAAGTGCCTCGCGCTCATTTCTGCCTGTGGAGTGGTGGAGGGGAAAACCCCAGCTGTCGGCTGCTTTCTGTTACAGGTGTGCGAATATCCCGACGGAACCAAGTCATTGAAACTGGGGGACTTCGGGCTGGCGACGGTGGTGGAAGGCCCCCTGTACACGGTCTGTGGCACGCCCACCTATGTAGCGCCAGAAATCATCGCTGAAACCGGGTGAGGCTCCTGCACTACCCTCCTGGGTAGTGCTGTGACATCGGTGGGTAGAGGTACAGTTTTTCCATTACTGCTGCTTGTGGGTTCATTCCTTCCTATGAAGGTGGAGGAGAGGAGGCAGAGAGAGGGGGAGGGAGGGAGACAGACCAGACACTATAACTATACCAGTATCTTGACCTCATGAGCTCAGGAGCAAGAGTTTGTACTTTCTGGCCAAAAGCTATATACCCAGACTTTTGTCCCACGGCCACTCTTGGGAATATGGCCATGGTTGTCAGGGTGACAGGCAAACAGATGACTGTTGAAATAGCAGGTCGGTCCTCTGTGTGAATGGAACAGTTGGTCCCCTACCCCCTGCATCCCCCAGTAAAGGCTCTGTGGAAGCTCCTGTAATCCTGACTGTTACCCTCCTGCTTTCCCAGCTACGGCCTGAAGGTGGACATTTGGGCGGCTGGTGTGATCACGTACATACTCCTGTGTGGATTCCCACCATTCCGAAGGTCAGTGGTACTTCCAGTGACTGTATTTGGATTGAAAATTCCCTGCTGCTTTACTCCTGGTAGTCAGGACCTGAAATGGGTTGGCCACTAAAAATGCTAGTTAAAACTATAACAATGTATCTTTTACTTTTTAACTTTAAGTTTACAACTTTATGTATTCTCATGGACCACTCCATTCATTCAGTGTGTCGGGACCAAACCCAGGGCTTCCTGCTTGCCCAGTGTCGTGCTTGCTCCACCACCGAGCCACATGTCCAGCCCGGGCAGACTTTTAATTTGGGACCCAGGCCTTGGCTTTGTGCACAGTGCCTCGAGCTCCTTGTGGCCATTCCTTGCTGAAACACTTGCACATCTGTAGGACAGAGTCTGCCCTTCTGGGCTTCCCAGTCTTGGTGGGGGCAGCCCTGAGGACCCACCCAAGGCTGTGCATCTGTGAGGCAACTTCTGTCCCTCAGAGCTGTGCCCCTGCCTACCCAGGAGGATCGCTACAAGTCCGAGCTGCGCAGTGAGTCCCTGTACCAAATACATAAAAAGAGGAAGCCTGAAGCTCTTCGCCCTCACTTCAACCCTTTACATAACATTTAATTGAGAAGTAGAACCACAAATAGTTTTGGCACCAGTGAGCTGGGGAACAAGCAGCTGACAGTAGGGTGCTTCCCCTGGTGGAGCTGAGGTGGCCACAGGCAACTGGCCAGGTGTCTGTCCTCACGAACCTGGCGGCCTTCGCCGGGTTTCAGACTGTTGTCACAAATGGAGAGTGGATTCATCTCTCTCTGTGGAGCAAATGAATGACTTCGGAGCAGCATCTGACACCGCATGTTTGGTTTTCCTGTTTTCTTGAGCTCCGTTTTTAGCACAATCTCTCTGTTCATTTCATAACAAATGCTTGGTGAGTGGCCACTGCTTGGCAGGCGTGTCCTAAGTGCTGAGGATAAAGCGGTGAGAAAAGCGTAATCCCTGAGGTCCTGGTGTTCCCGTCCACGTGGGTTGCTGTGGTGAAGCTCCACGCACTGATGGAAATTGAGTGTGCGCAGGCTGCAGAGTCTGGGAGAAGGCCCAGCAGACTGTCTGGGGGCTCACTTCCTTTCTTAGACAGCGGTCTGGTTCTGAGCTTCCCAGAGTGGAATGGGGGGTAGCGACGTCTCTCAAGGCTCTAATGCCATTCATCCTGGTGGCCTGCACACCTCCCAACGGCCCCATTCTTAATGCTGTCTCATGAGATTAGGTCTCAACCGATGCATTTGGGGAGACAGACGTGCAGCCTGTTCTATGGTGTTTATTGTATTAAATCAGTAAGTGAAAAGATAGGTTTCTCTCCTTTCCCTCAGCATTGCTAGTGAAGTTTCAAGAAACTTTCCAGAAAAGTTGACCGGTTTATCTTTCTAAAACTCAGTCTTTCGGGGCCTGCGAGATGGCTCAGTGGAATAAGCACTTCCCTGCCAAGCACAAGGGCCTGAGTTCAATTCCCAGTTCTGCCAAAAAACAAAACAAAACAAAACCTCAGTCTTTCAACTGAGTTGAAGGTGTTTTTATCAACAATTGCTCTAAGAACAAGAACAGCACAGGTGTTGGCCTCTGCTTTGGGGAGTTGCACGGTACAGAGGCAGACATCAGAGAACAGTAAGAATCTGTGGAGCGCATGGAGCACGGGGCTTACTGAAAGCACTAGCGTGGGGTCCTCTGGTGAGGGCGGGGTTCTCGTAGGTGCGGTCCTGTTTATCTGACATCGGGGCAGACGCCTCAGTGGGCGTCATCAGCTAGCTTACACCAGTTAATGAGCCACCCCGTGGTGGGCCCTGTGCACAGTTTGGGTGCTGCTTCAATGCTGGCCCTGCAGGCCCAGGGTGGCCTCACTCCCATGCTGGTGGTAGGCGTGATGTCAGCTGGGGTGGCACATGGCTTGGTCCTTTTGTCATCCAGTGGGCTGGCCTGGCTTTGTGGGGTGCTGGAGGCAGAGTTCCCCAAGCTGCCAGAGAGGAGGGTGAACTACGCTGCCCAGTCACTTTCTAAGTCTCTGCTCACCTCATGCTTGTTGGTGTCCCACCGACCAACTCTGGTCTCACAGGTAATCCTGTGGAATGAAATGGAACAAATGGGCACGTTGGGGCTTGGGGGTGTGTGTGTGGATCTCGTATTTTGTGGCCGTTTTCACAGGCTGACTTGGGGGGTGCACTGTTGGGGGAGCCCATCAAGGGTAGAAGAGTAGTGCCTCCTGAGAGTGCCCCCTGGTGTCCCCAGCCTGCTGGCTGGCTTGGGGATCAGCGTTGCCAGAGTGTGCTCACCACTCCCTCTAGTGTTTCAGATGACCACTGCAGGCCAGGAGTGGGCTTTTTATTTTTTTATTTTGGCTTTTGGTTTTAGCAAACATGGGGCTCCAACTAAATGGTGTGTATTTATCATGGACTCCTGCCCAGCAGGCAGCAGCTGCTTTGTGGGCTCTCGAGTTCGCTGGCTAATGAAAAGCAGAAAAGGGACATTCTCAAAGCTTCTGCTCTTGTATATTATATTCTGCAGCAGGTCATAAAACCCCAGGTAACTTACTTTTTAAATATTAGGAAATGTTTTCCTTCTTTCCTGTCACATTGCATTGAAAGAGAATTGTGCTGTTAAACACTAGTCGCCGAGATGTCTTCACAGAATACAGGGGCATGAGTTGGATTTCATAACCTCCTATCCTATAAAATGTACAGGGGAAATTATAGAGGTTGTAATTTAAGTGATAAATGATCATGTCTTCATAAATTGTAATTGAAGTAAAAACATCAGCCACTTCAAAATATGTTGTTTATGGAAAAGACACGTTTAACCCAAAGCTTTTGAACCAGAGTTGTTGTGTAGGGAGTGTGGTTCCAGTGCCTTGAAGCGGAACCTCTCTCGCCCTTTCTTCCTTCAGAGCTTTGGCGGTTAGTCCAGGCTCGATGTCCTTTCTCCACTTGTTCAGCATCAGATTTATTTTTATTAAGGAGATTGCTTTTCAGAGGCATCCCAAATTTTAATTGTTGCCTTAAAATGTCTGTTCTTAGGGGGTCTAATGATGAGGGTGTGTGACTGTAGTGAGCTTCTTGAGGTCACACGCACAGAGATGTGTGTCCTGGTGCTCGCTCACTCGCGCTCTAAGTGGAAGGCTTGAGGGTTGCTTGTGAAATCCGGTACAGCACTGTTCAGCTGCCTTTTCTGACCATGCGGGACTTGGCATTGAGAGAGAGGTGCGCCCGGCCCCTGTGGTGATGTTGCACTTCGTCTACGTGGACAGCTCTACACTTACGGCACCTTGAACCAAGGGCTGTTGTGTAAGAATAAAACGGTGCCCTGTGGCATCCCTGCCAGCCATCAGAGTACAGCCACGAGAATAAGTCCAGTGCGGCTCCATCAGGGGAGCCTCTCCTCCATTCCCCCCGGGAAGCAGGAGTTAGGGCACTAATGGGCAGCACCAGCCTGTCCACTGCATTTCCGAGCCACTGGGCTTTCGTTTGTTGGTTCAGGCTGCTTTGCCAGAGCCCACTGTGTGAAGGGCCTGCTGAGAATGAACTGCAGGCTTCCATTACAAGATAAAAGCCAGGGATTGACATGGGCAAGCTATTTGAGATTCCAGAAAAAGAGAAGTGGAAAAACAGGAAAGGGTGGCTAAAATGAACAATTTGGGAAACGTTATTTCTTTTCTTCTGGCATTATCTAGTCTGATTTTCTAAAGATTTCCATAAAGACTCATTTTTTTCACTCATTTTGAAGGAGTTCAAAGAGTGAGGATATAGCAGTGGAAAGGAGAGAGGTCATTTTGCAGCTAGAAAGACATCTGAGCGCGCTCAGAGAACATCCCTTTTCAGCCTGCAGTGCCGTCTCTCGCCTCATCCGCCTGACGTTTGCTGCTTCCTGTGCCTTTGGCCAGCCTGTAGGGGCTGCAGATGCCCGACCCTGCAGCTAGGCTCTGTGGATGTTCCCAGAGCTCACAAAACCTACGATGTTCTCTTCACCAGGACACGAACGAGGGCACCGTGCGTCACACAGGCCAGCCTTGGTGTCTAGACAGTGCCACGGTCTGTTTCTGTGAACGCCACTCTTGTCTTCGTCCACCTTTGGGAGAGTGGGTAGCAAAATTCCTGAAGGTTGCGGGCTGGCGGGGGGGCGCATTACAAGAACTGTTGCACACTTGCCAGGTGATTTCTAACTTCGTGCCTAGCTTCCTGCAGCCTGCTCCGAGCATTCTGCTGCGGGCTTGGCAGGGCCCTCGAAAGCTTTGTACTTGCTCCTCCCTCTGGACGTCTGTGCATCCCCCAGTGTGCTGCGCTGGGAATGTGGAGATGGAGTTTTACAGGAGGCTTGAGGCGTATCGGCTTCCCTGGACCTGCCATCAGAAGTCTAGGTTTATTTGGAGAGCCGACGTCATCTGTGTGTGGCCAGCATGCTCTGGGTGTGAGCCTGCCAGGTGTGGGCTGGGGCTGGTGCTCACTGGCCAGCAGCCCAAGTAAGTGGGCTCACATGCTCAGTTACCGTGGTATTTTTGGCTGGGCCTTTCTCTCGGGCAGAATGTAAATGAAAGTCAAGTTCTAAGGGCATGAATGTTCTGTCCAGATTTTGGACTCCCGTGCCTTCGTCCTCTTGGCTGTGGCACTCGTGTCAGCTTTCCACTGCGATGATCCAACTCTGGAGTAGCTCCTTCAAGGAGGAAAAATTTCCTTTGCTGTGGTTTCCAAGGTTTCGGGCCACAGGGCCTTGAGGGGTCAGGTGACAGGGACATCATGATGGAAGAGCGCAGTAGACAGAGCTGTTCCCTGATGGCAGCTGGGAGCATGGAATGAGAGAAAGAGCCAGAGAGGAAGGGCCAGCCAGCTAGCTCAGCGGGCTGCCTTAGCTTAGGCAGAGCACAGGGACTGGGGCTTGATCCCCTGGACCACAAGCCAAGCCGCCCCGATGCCCATGGTGCTGAGACAGCCAGTGACACCGGGCGTGGTGGTGCACGCCTATAATCCCAGCACTTGGGAGGCTGAAAACAGGAGGATCACTGTGAGTCTGATCTGTGTAATGAGATCCTATAGATCCTGTACTACATCCATTTAAAAAAAACCAGAGAGGAAGGGCGGGGGACCCCACCCAGTGCTCAAGGTGACACCCATGACCCACTCCTAGTAAATGCCTCCAATTCCGATCTCCTCAAGGAATTATGGCTGCTGAAATTAGTGTCCCATGGTCCAATGGGCTCCCCAAAGCCCATCAGCAACCAAGCTCTCAGTACAGTGAGTCTTTCAGGGGATGCTTTGGATGCCAACTGGAGTGCTGTCTCTGTTGTCTTAATTTTTGTAGATGTATTTAGTGCAGGGTTCACAGGGTCTCCCTATATGGCTCAGACTCCCAGTGATCCTCCTGTTTTCAAGCCTACCCAGTGCTAGGATTACAGGAATGCACCACCGCGCCCAGGCTCAGTCATTGTCTCAGTGTCCTTGTTTTATTGGAGAAGTGGAACAAGTAAAGCCCTGCTGACTCAGGCTTGCTGTTTTCTATGCCAGCTGTGGTGCAAAGAAGGGAGGGTAGATCACGGCCCCACAGGAGGATTTCACTTTCCTCGTAAATCTTTTTCATTGTGGGTGTGAGCGACATAGAAGCTATCGCCATAGAAGCTATGTCTTAATCATTTTTCCCCCTCAGGGCAGGGGCTTGTCCTAGTGCCAAGGCTGTTCCCAACCCCTGGGCTGGAGTGACGCCCCCCCACTCCAGTCACCCTCATCGCTGGGACTCCCAGCATGCTCCCCCACGCCTGGCTTACAGGCTGTTTTGTGTGTACAGCACAGTCACACTAAGCACATTCACATCTTGTCCAGCCGTCGCCATCTCCACGTGCAGAATGTCTCCATCCTCCCAGACTGGAGATCTGCATCCATTTCACAGTTTTCTTGAGTCACTGGTTCTGTCTTTGCACATCTGGCTGTCAGACTTTGGGAATGCTCTTTGGCTCCTTGTCCAAAAAGGGAACTTTGTCATCACAGATGCGGTGGTGACGCACAGGGGCCGACGTGCAGCAGATCCCGACTCCCTCCCACTCTTCCCGTAGTGTTGTATTGAAGACCGCACTGACCTCCACTCTCCTTCTGTCTGTGTCCCTGCCTTAGTGAGAACAACCTCCAGGAGGATCTCTTCGACCAGATCCTGGCCGGGAAGCTGGAGTTTCCTGCCCCCTACTGGGATAACATCACCGACTCAGCCAAGGTAGGCCTCTGCCTGTTCGAGGGGTGTGCTGCATGCCGAGCGCGGGCCTCAGCCATCACTCGGGCACGGTGACTGCTGTGGGAGGGAAGGGATGACCGATGCATCCCACCTGGGGCTTCTGCACGTTCATCTCCTGGGACCGTCTCGGAAGTCCTTGAACAAGCTCTGCAAACCGGAGTGACTGCCGTGCTCGTTGCCATACCCTTCCGCTCCTCTAATCTGGAAGCACCAATTCCTTCATCAGCCCCAGAACCATGTATTGGGCACCCACCAGAATATAGGAAGGAGCTCAGGAGAACCCTGCACTGCAAAGAATAAATCCTGCAGCACTACGCAGTGGGATGAGGGCAATGCCCAGGACTTTCAAGGGAGAACATGCTGGCTTTGTGAGCCTGCAGAGACCTTCTGCTCCGGAGCTGGCAGGGGCAGCTGTGTCTCCATCCTCCCTGGCAGGTGGAGGGCAGGGTTGCTGGTGTTTGAATTCACACACTGACTTCCTGTGCTTCTGGAAGAGCTAGCTCGAACTCAGACTCGTGCCTCTGTGCCGGAAGTGTACCCTTTCCTTCTAGGGTCTTCCTTTTCTTTTTTGGCACCGAGGATCAGACTCTGGTCCTTGTGCTTGCCGGGCAGGCGCTTGAGCGGCTGAGCTCTCGCCCTGGCCGGGTCTTCCCTCTTTCCTTCTCTCTTTCTAGGAATTAATCACTCAGATGCTTCAGGTAAACGTCGAGGCTCGATGCACTGCAGGGCAGATCCTGAGTCACCCCTGGGTGTCAGTAAGTACCCGCACTCCAGGAGTGGGCAGCTGTTACTCTGTGGCCAGTGGCAGCCTCCGGCTGTGTGCTTTGCAGGGGCAAAATCATGCAGCTGAGCTCCATGGCACACAGTGTCTCCTGGCCCCAAAAAGCAAGTAGCAGGAAGGGAGCTATCTGGGAAAGCAGCTGATACCAGGGCTCCACAGTCAGAGCCTGCTCTCTGCCAACTCCAGAAAGTCGCCACCTCTTTGTGAGCTTCCATGTCCTCATCTCCAAGGAAGGGGCTGGCTGGGGTCTTCTTGAGGAAGCCCGTGCATCTTGCCTGTCCCTGTCGCTGGCCTGAAGGTTTTCAGGATGTGCCACGGGGATGAGATGTGATCTGTGTCCCAGGGACCCCCCAGAGACGTCACTGTGGTGGGTGACGGTGACACAGCCCCTCCCAGAGGTGGGCCAAGGGGTTTGGTGCTGACAAGAGCTCACTCTGTGGGGAAGCACAGGTCAGGGATGGGTGACCAAAAGGTGCGCACCTCCCCATTCCAGACGTTGCTGAAGAGAAATTAAGGTGTCTCTTAATTTTGTCAGCCAAGGACTGTGGTTTACCTAGGCCTTGTGGCCCTTGGAAAAGTAGCTGAGGTGCCACATCTTTGAGCAGTGCAGGTTGCCGACCGAGTGCGTTGGGGGCTGGAAGCTCGGTAGGGGGAACCCCTGAGCCCCATCCTGCCAACCACAGGGGCCACCCTGGCTGTGCTCCTACCCTCTGCCTCTTTTGGAAATATGAGAGGAAACCACACTGTGGCCCAGACATGCCTTGAACCTCGGGGTTAAGCGATTCCTGCCTCGGGCTCCTGGGTGGCCGGGGGACCACAGCGGTGTGCCACTGCACCACGCACGGACTCCCCTGGCCCGCGCTAGGATGGAGCCATGTAGGAGGAGTCCAGGGCTTGGAGGAGGTGGTAACTGTTACAGAAAAGACAATTTAGGTGTGAGAGTCAGAAATGATTGTATTCGATTTTGTTGTTTTCTGCAGGACGATGCCTCCCAGGAGAATAATATGCAAGCAGAAGTCACAGGTAAACTAAAACAGCACTTTAATAATGCACTGCCCAAACAGAACAGCACCACCACCGGGGTCTCCGTCATCATGGTAAGTGGGGCACAGCACGGGGTCCTCTGCCATGCGTGGCCAGAGCTTCCGTCATGTGAGGTTGGGGCCCCGTGTTCCCTTGCCCACACGCAGAAGGCAGAAGGGCACTCCCTGGCCCCTTCCAGGCTACGGGTGCCGTGCGCAGGGCTGTGCAGCCTCCGGGAGGCCAGGCTGATGGGTGCAGGTGTCGGGCCCGTGCTCTCTGCTGTTGCTGTCTCTTCAGAGCCGGAGCCCTGGCTGTGGCAGCGCAAGCAGACAGCTCCCACTTCACGGAGTAGATTACACGAGGCATTGATTATTCTCTGGGATTCGGGATAAGAAGTAGCCAAAGGGAAGCAAACTTTTTCTTTTTTTAAGGGACAAACATTTTATAAAAGCTTGGGGGCTGGCAAAACTACAGAACACTAAAATGTTGTAGTGTTTCCAGGGTTAGTAGAATTTTGTAAAAAGTAACAGTGATCACCATTATTTCTTCTGTACTTATTTAGAGAATGTTTTTTAACACGTTCCTGCCAGCCGGACACACCAGTGGTAGGTACATGTGTGGTTGTCTCACCCAGTGGCACTGTCCCATGCCACCCGATGGGACAGTCATGCATGTACCAGTGGTGGTTCAGAGCCACCTGGCAGCCAGACAGGAAGTACTGCCCTGTGCCTAACGTGTTATCTAAATATATAACTATAACACATTGAAATGAAAAGTAACATTAAGGGATGGCAAAGGAAAAGAAAGGCAGGAAAAACAGAAAACCAAGCCTGAGGTGAGGTCAGTAAGCACAGCGCAGGGCATCTAGCCCTTGTGAAGCCCGCGCAGCTCTGAGCAGCTCCCACCGACCCAGCAGGGAGTGGCAGGGTCGTGGCACCTCAGGGTCCCCACAGACACTCTGAGCCTCCTGTAGCACCAGCCTCTCACTTTCTGTGAGGGACCCAGCTGGAGGAGAGCTGCGCCTTTTGCTGCCAGCATGTGGGAATCCCAGAACTTGGGCCAGGGAGCACAGGCCGGAGCTCAGGGACCTGTGCCCACACGCACACCCAGCCCCTGCCGTGCCCCATGAGCGTCCGCCCGTGCTTAGCACCTGCTGGCCGTCCTGCTGGCCTCTCACTGGGGGGCTGCGTTTATCTGGCCACCCTCTGGATGCCCACCCTCTTCCCCTGGGGCCCTGCCAGCACGAGTGCTGTCCCCTCCCCCCTCACACAGCCTGGGCCTTGACAACTCGCAGGCCTTTGGGCTGCTCCCTGCCAAAGGAGTGGGATGGTTGCCACCTGCTGCGGTTTTTCTAGCAGTTTATAGTATTTTGCTGAGAGCATAAGAAAGTCCGAGTTGTCACAAAATTATGGTTTAAACACTTGGAAAGGAATCTTCTGTATGAAACCAGCAGCACGGGGACATTTTGAAGTGATTCCCTTATAAGAGCTGGCACCGATGGTGGGAGAGACAGTGCAGCCTTCTGTCCTCCGTGTTAAGAGGAAACTTCTGGAAAAATGTGGAAAATGTAAACAGCCAACATTGGCCCAGTCGAGCCAGGCGTAGTGGCAGAGCATGTGCTTAGCAGGAACGAGGCCCTGAGCCCAGCCCCAGCACCGAGTGAAAAAAATTGGCATCTTCCACATGTAGTGAAAAACTGTAAGGAATTTGTTTGCTGGAAGCAGAAGTTAATAACTATGTGTTTGTGAGCCAAAGGATCATCTGAGTGGAAGAAGTATTTCGGCCTGTGCTGGAGCTCAGGAGGGCCCACTCGCGTGGCTGCCGTGGCCCCTTCCAGCCCCAGGAAGACTCGATGCCTGTGGGGCTTGGAGCACCTCCCAGCCGAGGCTCTGGGCTGTCGGCCTGCAGGGTCCAGGCCCGCTGTGTTCTGGGCAGTGACGCTGCTGCCCCTCAGACAGAGCCATGTCATGTGGTTCACAAGTGGCCTTCTCCATCTGCTCGAAGCGGAAGGAGCTCGGCAGGCGCCCAGGCCAGCACGAGCACTTTGCAGGGCGCCGTCCCGGCCCACAGTGAGAGGCTGCTGTCACAGTTGTTGTCACAGTCCCTTCTCCTCCTCTGGGAGCCAGCAGTGCATGTGCTGCAGTGGGAGGAGCCCGGCAGGCGCCCAGGCCAGCAGGAGCACCGTCCCGCCCCATGGCCAGAGGCCCTTGTCACAGTTCTCCCTGCGGAGCCAGCAGGGCGTGCGCTGTGGTGGAAGGAGCTTCTGCGAAAATTTAGAAGAAATAAACCAGCGCTCTGCCATTGTCACGGCAGCGGTGACTGTACAAGTTGAGCTGACGTGTGGCACGTGTCGGCAGATCCTGTCTAACTGCATGTTCCCGCAGGCCCGCAGGCGGTTGGCGACCGGGAGAGCTGCCAAATGGCACCATCTTCACCACATTTCCAAAGCTGAACTTGGTCAGTGAAACAGCACTGTCGGTCTGCCTTTGCGAGAAGAGGAAGTGTGTGGTGCTCGTCTCCGGCAGGACCCACTCTCGGTGCCCAAGCGTCACCTGGGAAGGTTTTCTTGTCCCGCAAAGTGGAAAGAAGAAACAGCCTGTCAGTCACCTCAGCCCGTCAGGCCGGCAGTGTGTGGGGACTTGCGTGGCGCTCGTCTCTTCATGCTCTTCCTCCTCCTCACCGTGACTGTGTCCAGATGGCCATTTCTGGAGCCTGTCTTAAATGTCCTTTTATATTAAAAAGAACTACAAAACGACTGTCCCTGCGTTCCTGTGTCCTCGTTACTAAGTGAGCCGATGCAGTTTCCCACAGATAGAGGAAGAGCCGGTGTAGGGCGAAGTGCTTTGTGGCTGACGGTGGGACAGCAGTGGCCAAGCTGGAGACGGCCCTCCTGGCTCCCAGGTTCCTTCACGCCCCTGGGTGGGTGCTGAGGCTCCAGAAGTAGAAGTAGTGTGTGCAGGGAAAGGAAAAGGGCCGATTGTCTGCATTTGACAGTTTGAGTGACTGATGGCTACTCTTCAGTAAACCTCACACCGAGGTTTCCTCCTCTACCGCGGACGCTAGGGGCCCCACACAGCCTCGGGGATTGAGCCCATCCGCGCCCTGGAGCAGCCCCTCAGCCCGTCCTCTGCAGGCTGGGAGGGCCCAGGCCCTCGGCTTCCTGTGTGCTTGGGACAACGCCACACTCCTTGGTTCGCACTGCTCCTTCCCGGCCCCACAGTGGGTTTGCACCTGCTGTCTCCTTCACAGGACACATAGCTGCTCCTGGTGAGGGACAGCATAGGGCGGGGCTCTGAGGTGGGATTCGTTCTTCCTCACCTGCATTTCCTAGGCCGACCTTGCCTGCGCCAGCCCGAGATAGATTATTGCATGGCGTGGGCTCTGGCTTCCAAGGGCCTATGGTTTTGTTATACTGTTTTACTTCCTGTTTGTTTGGTTTTTTTCTTTAGCTAACACAGAAGAGATGATTTATTGTACACGCTTTGTACTTAGCCAAAAGCGAGAACAGTACTGGTCCTGAATGCCACAGGTCCAGGGACTGCTTAGTTTGAACCAGGTGTATCTCTTTTTGAGGTGGCCTTGGCAATCAGATGGCAGGGACGTTCTAATCCATTGAGACATTTAGACAGCGTGCAGTCCAAAACTTGCACCAGCGCTGGCAGCCTCCAGCATTCTGTATTTCTGCCCCTCTGGCCTCCATGGGCGTACGAGCTATTTGGACCTCTGTCTCATCTTTCTTCTTTTATGCTTCAGTTTGTGCATTCGCTTCTTCCTCCACTTGGCGCTCATGGCGCAGAGGTGTCTAAGAAGATGGCGTTTGAGCACGCTTAGTCAGGCCCGGGCATTTTGGGGATGTTTTCTTGGTCGTCAGAGACCAGCAGGGCCGCCTTGTGGCCAGACCGGGTGACCGAAACATCACCGCACCCAGCAGCACGGCCTGGGGCGAGGAAGGGAGCCTTTGTGGGGGTGGGCGGCAGTTGGGCTGGTCCCCGACTTTGAGGTCTGCGCGGCTGTGTGGCTTCTGTTGAGTAAGTCTAGTTTCTGTCCCTGCTTCTTTCCTTCTCTCGCCTGCCTTTCCCGCCGCCTGCCTTGCTTCCTGCCTAGGTCCACGGCCAGGGTACGTATGACTGCATGGCCACGCTTCCTGCTGCCACAGCACCCATGCCCAGCTTGGAGGGGAGAAGTAACGGGCGCCTGTCGGTGCCCCAGAACTCACAGGGTGCACAGGGCCTCACTGCCTGCTGCCCTCATAGGCTGCCACCTCCCTCACTTGGTGGCTGGGTCACAGGTTTCCTCCAGAGACCAGGAGGAGAGGGAGAGGGAGACGGCGGGTTCTGGCCTAATTCACAGACCCTGGGGCAGCCCCTGATGTGGGGCTGTTTCTCAGCTCCCCTAGTTAGGCAGTCCAGCACTCTGAGGGTGACGAGGGTCCCGTCCCAGGAAGAGAGGCTCTTAGAAGAGGATGGGCCTGGATGACACGGCAGGCTGCTCTGGCCACAGAGCATCTGTTCCCTGAGTCAGTCCAGGTGGGGCCGGCCAAGTCAGAGCCCCGCTTGCATCTGCTGTCTGCTTGGTTCTCTGGGCCACAGCCAGCAGCTCCCTAGCTTGGGGCACCCCAAACCAGGCCAGGCTGCCAGGGGCGCGGTGTTACTTCTCCCCGCCCGCGTCCGCATGCTCTGTCGTGCTCTCTGCTCACCCGCCGCGAGGGCCTGCGGACTAACTCTGCTGCTTTCTCCCCAGAACACAGCTCTAGATAAGGAGGGGCAGATTTTCTGCAGCAAGCACGGGCCCGAAGGCAGCAGACCTACAACAGAGCAGAGCTCCCCTACGCCTCCTCCGGTCCAGGAGCCCCCCGAGTCTGCGCCCAACCCTCCGGCAGCTCCCCCACGCCCCTGTTCTCCGGCCGTGGGCTGCGAGCGTGCAGGGACCTGGCGCCGCCACCGAGACTGAGCCCGTGCGGCCTGCCTGGCCATGCTGTCCCCGCTGGATGCGTCCCCCTCCTGACCACCTGCTGTGGCCCCAGCCCTCCCGGGGTTGCCAAGGACGGGGCTGTTGTCACCGCATTCTGCACACTGCTCCAGGAGGTGACTCCTGCCATCAGCGTGGAGCCCGATGTCCCAGCGACTGGATTTTGGTCACCGCGTGTGCGGGGCAGGGTATGCCACTGCAGCTTTTGTCAGCATAAAGGATTTTTATAGCAATTCCATGTCGGTTGCCAAGAGACTCCTCGTGTGAGTGCGCCGCTGCTCCCTTCTCAAGGAGGACAGTGCCTGCGTTTCCCCTCACGCATGTCCTGGGAGACGTGACGGGGCATCACCTCACCTCCAGGATGCCAACGTCACAGTCCGCAGCCCGCAGCAGGCAACAGCACTGTGAGCTGGATATTTATTTGGCCCCCAGTCCAGGGCGTGGCTTCCTCCCAGCCTTCCCCAACTGGCATGAGGAGCCGCTAAGGGGGCAGGTGCAGGGCTCCCTGGCCTGGCACCCCATCAGCATGGACCTGGCTTCGTGTCTGCTTTCCCTCAGGAGCCAGGGCTCCCCAAGCGCAGCTGGCTGGGGCAGGAGGTGCCCCTTGGACACCCTGTCGCTAACCTTCTGGAAGGCTGCTGGCAGTTTTTCCTTTTTTTCCACCGCCCTACTCTTTTTAATAATTACACATGGCCATGTATTTGTTCGACCTGCTCATCTTGTGAGTAGGTGGGCCCTACGTGTAGTTCATTCTCACTGTTAAGACTTTCCCTTCTACAAGTGTCCCCAACTGCAATAAACTCTTCCCTCTTCAGAAAAAAGCCATCTGGGATGGGCAAGGCGTCTGTGTGGTTGCTTGTGTGGGCCAGGCCAGCAGGGTCATCGGGGAGGACCTGGCTCTGGAGGCCCAGGAGATGGAGCTGTGCTCACTTGTGTGGGAGCTCAGGACAAGAGCCCCAGGGCGAGCCGGGGGGGGGGGGGGAGCCTGCAGGAAGCTTGGGCTTTCAAGGCAATGGGAGTCAGCGCGGTGGCCGTGCTTGTGTCTGTGTTCCCTCATGTTGGATGGTCTCTGGCCCTGCTCTTCGCTGTCCTGTGAGCCACACTCCATTTGCAGTTCTTGGTGGTGTCCCTCCTGGCTGCCACTTGCCTGGTGCCCTGATACGCTGGCCTGGCCTTTGTCTCAGTTTCTGCAGGTTTATGTGTCAGCTCCTAAAACCATCCGGCCTGGCTGCTACTGGGATGAGCCCTGGCAGGCCAGTGCTGGCCCAGGGCCTTGTCCGCAGGCCTTCCTGAAGTTGTGGGGGCTTCCTGGGTCCATGGCTGCAGTGAGAACAGCTGTGAAACTATGGTTTGGGTCTCAGACACTTGCCTGTGTCTGTGCTGCCTGGCGTCCGAACAACTCTTTCATAGCTTTCTCGGGAATATTTTCATTTCCAGCAAAGAAGAACTGATGTACAAGGGGCAGTCAAAATAACTGGTATCTGCATTTTTAAAATTTGTTACAGGTGGGTGTGGGGGTTCACACCTGTGATCCCAGCACTCAGGAGGCTGAGGCAGGGAGGCCACTGAGCTCAAGGCCAGCCTGAGCTGCACCGTGAGGCCCTGTCTCAAAGACACATTGTCATTAGTCTCCTCAGAAGACCCAACTTCACTTTGAACACACTTAGTCTTGTCACTTTATGTGGTATGATAAAAAGTATGTTGGCTGCTGCTGTGTGCCATGGGATGAATGGAAAAGCAGCTGGTAAAGACATCTCTGTGTCCTCAGCCACTCACCCACTGTATCTGGCGCTGTGCGGCTTCTGGCTTCTCCCCATAGTCAGGACGGCCATGCCAAGTAAACGGTCTGAACTCAGTCATTGCGGCAGCCACTAGATGCAGCTGGACGCGAAAGAGACTTGCGGAACTGCCAGCGAGACAGACGTCAGTCACTGGAGGGCTGCACCTCGAGGCCGAGTGAAATCAGACCCAGGAGCTTAAAAACCTCGTGGTTTCTGTTATCTGGGAAGCCCCAAATAAAAGTCGAAGTAATAGGAAGTGGGGGAGGGGCTCTTCCTCACAGGGAGGGGCCCCGGAGATGGAGAAGCAGCCTGAAGAGGGATGAAGACACATCACGTGCGTGCAGCAGCTCCTCTCGGGGGATATCCACCGTGTGCGTGTGCGCTGATGGAAGGTGAGCTCGCAGACCAGTGCTGAGGCGGGGGTGATGGAACAGGCGTGTTCAGAGCGAGGCAGGCATCCGAGCGGCAGTGTGATTCAGGGCGGTGTCTTTTATTGTAAGTTTTTAAAAAAGTCACATTTATCACAATTCATGGGGGCCTGGCCCTAGCTCAGGCCTTTAAGTGGCTGCTTCCACGAAGCTGTCAGCCTCGGGTTGCTGGAGTTCCAACCTCACAACTCTCCAGCTGGCCAAAAGCGCCCTGAAGGCATTCGAGGAGCAACAACAACAACAACAAATCCTTATTCCTTATCACAATTCATGAAGGAACATTAATAAGGGGAGGGACAAGCCCCCCAGCCGCCCTCCCTGGAGCTGCAGGTGCACAGCTGGGAAGTAGGCATTGTCTCAGCAAAGGGCTGCGCCCTCCGAGTCGGGGAACACAGCTCCTCCAAAACCTAGATGTGTACGGAAGTCAAAGAGGGGACCGAAAGGCCAAGCAACGGGCTGAAGCCATAGCCAGAGATGGAGCCAGGAAGCGGAGAAGCTGTGGAGCCTGAGCTGCTGGGCTGTATAAGCCGCCCTTCAGGGCTGGTGGCATCTAAGTGTGATGTGTCAAGGTTCCCACACCACAGGCGGATTGCTCGTTTGACCATTTGCTGAGCAGACGTTCACTAAGCTCTGATTCTGTCCTGAATCCAGCGTGGTCTGGTGCTTACCTGCCAGCTTCTCGGATCCCGCAGAGTGTGGCTGTCACGTTCTAGGTTTGCTCCCTTCCTGTGCTGGGTCAGTGTCTAAAGAAATTGACCTCTCATAGGGTGGATGGGAAGGGGATGACATTTTCTCCGAAGCTTTGGTCCTTTCCTTTCCAGAAAGAAGTGTGCGGGTTGTGCAGAATGAATGCACGTGGCTACACTCAGGACGCTGTTGTGGCAAAAATGGCTACAACACGTGAACTAGAGATCAGACCATTCAGGATGGATTAAATTTACTGAAAAACATTGGTTACTGTCTTGGAGAAAGCTCTAAAGCAGCTCACTGTCCCATGGGAATAAAATGCAAGTCACATATGTGACTGTTGTCAGGTACTGTGTTAAAATTTGCAAGGGCCAGGGAGACAGCTCAGTGGTATAAGCACCTGCCTAGCAAGCACAGGGTCCTGAGTTTGATCCCTGGTAAGAAAAAAAATTGTAAGGGAGCAGGTAAAGTTCACTTCTTTATTTCATTTAGTTAAATATGTCCAAACATTTGAGGCATTCAAAAAATGGTATTTTACCTTCCTTTGCACTGCGTCTGGAATCTGGCTGCCTGAACTGCGCCTCTCAGGCTGGACCGCCCGGGTTCGAGGGCATATTACCCATCAGCCCAGCTCTGGCGTGGTTCATCCCACCCAGGGAGGGACATGTTCAGGGCCTCATCTTCGTGTGGCATGGGAGGGACTTATCTAGGTTAGCATGGTAGAACCTGACCCAGACCTCAGGCCTGAAACCAAAGCCAAGTCCTTGTTCTGTTCTGTAACTGCGGGAAGTGCAGGGGCAAGGATCGGGTCCCTGGCAGCCCAGAATGGCAGGCCTAGTACTGGCTGAGTGCATCCGGGTATAGCCCTCCTGGCATGTGGGTCTGGCCTAGGGGCCTTAGGGTGTGGGGTGTGGATAAGGCTACCATCACCCAAAGAGGGCAGCCCGAGGAAGAGAGGGTGGGAAGCCTTGGCCACCAAAACCTGGCAGCAGAAAAGATATTTGTTAGACAGAGGACTGGAGATGTGGTGCTTTGTATCTGGCCAAGTGTGTGGGAAGTGTGCAGGCTTTCTTTCCCCCATGGTCACTGGGCCAGCAGGTAGCAACAGCCTTGAGGGCCAAGTTGAAGTGAGACTGTAATGACAGAGTAGTCCAGTGTGGCCTCAGCTGCTTTACACAGGATTCATTTTGGGCTGTTGGAAATATGCAGGTACCAGCTGACAGCTGATGGGTGTGGGGACAGAGGCTGCATTTAATAAGGTAGCAAGTTGGCCACGCACAGCACCCTCAGTTTTCGGGCTCCTAGGACAGATCCCCGCATCAGGGCTGCTCCTTGGGTGACTGAGAAGCCAGTGGGAGCAGGGTGCTGGGCTGAGTCCCATGGCATGAGCGGCTACTAGACATTGTATTTGGTCTCACAGGAGGCCCCAGGGTGATGCAGGTGGCAGGCAGCACGATTGGCAAGGCACTGGTCCTGGCCCTTTCGCAAGCGCCTGCCCTTTCCTCTAGGGCTGAGCTAAACCCCGGTCTGGGACCCATGTTTGAAACTGTCCAAGGCTTTGTCCTGCCTGGTGTCGTAAAGCCACATCCTGCCTGGCTCTTTCCATCATCTTGGTTTTAGCAAGGGAAAACATTCCTGAATCTGAGGCAGAAAAATAATTCATTTTGTGCATCCCGCATGTGATGACGGAAGTCTGAATTCCCAGAAGTGTGTCAAGAGGGTCTCTTCTAGGGGATGAGCTGCCTAAGTGTGTCAAGAGGGTCTCTTCTAGCGGATGAGCTGCCTGAGGCTGAGCCCTCCTCCCATCCCTGGAGAGGAGGTCGTGATGGGCCTGGGCTGGGCCATCTCAGTTTTAGTTTATAGCAGTCAGTGTGGTTAACAGCCAGCCAGGCGCGGGGCTTGTGCCTGCAGACCCAGCCACACAGAAGGCCAACACAGGAGGATCTCTGGGGACTAAGAATCCAGGGCCAGCCTGGGCAGCAAGAAACACTTTTTAAAAAAATAACTGATCTTGGGGGCCTGCCTCTTAGCTCAGTTCTTTAAGTGGCTGCTTCAACCAAGCAGTCAGGTTCAGGTTGCTGTGGTTCGATCCCCACAACTCAAGCCTGCCAAACCTGCCCTGAAGGCATTCGGAGCAAAAAAATAAAATAAAAAAATAACTGATCTTGTGATTAGAGGACCCAAAAAGTGCCTCATGAACTTGCCTTCTCAAAGCTGTAACAGAAATCCAAATGATGTTCCTCCCACTCAAATGACAACAAATGGAACTTTAACACGTTTTGTGTCTTTTTTTTTTTTTTAATCTGCAGCTTTGTGGGTTTTTCTTCTTTTGTATGAGGAAGTTTTGAAATGTCCCAGACTGCAGTGAGGACTTGTGAAGCTGGAAGGTCAGACTGAGTCCTGGTCAAGGGCAGCTGCCCAGGCCAAAGCAGGTGGCCAGACATCTGGAGGAAGGCCGGGGGGTTTACACCCTTGGTGCCTTGAGTCACATGTGCTTGTCCCTGTCTGTGCTGTGGCCCACAGTAACCTGGCGTGAGGCCGGGAGGTCGGGGCTGCCACTTCTTAATCCGTCACACCAGACACCGGCATTCCTGCAGTCCCACCAAGGGCCTGTGCCGTGCACAGCCAGAGGCTCACGGAAGGACAGCATGGTAACAAGGGTCAGAGACCGGAGTCCGGGTCTCCCTTCATGGACCTGACCCGCCTCAAGCTGTCAGGTGCAGACGAGGGCTTGCCGTGAGACGGGGACCTGGTGTTAGCAGGCGCCACTGCCTTGGGCTCTCCACAGGTCTGTGGAGTAGACCTGAATGATGTTTCTTCAGTACGCGCACTCTGCTTCATGTCTACAGACATTTGTTTGTGGATACTTCAGAAACAGATGTCTTCTAAGGGTGAACTGTCCAGAGGTCTGTACTCATGTGTGTAATTAGACTTTCACATACTGTCTTCGAAGCCCTCCAGCTTCCTCCTGGAGAGCGCAGGGGCTTCGTAATGACAGAATTTCAGGGCTGGCCCGGCCATGCAGCACTGGGAATGGATACCACGGAAGAAAGCAGCTAGGTCACTGCGCGCCGGGCAGCCAGGCTCCTCCCACGCTGCCCAAGGTCCCGTGCTTTTCCTAATACGCCTACATTTATTTGGAGTAATGGTGTTTCTTAGGGTGAAAGCTGGGTAAAATAAGTAAATGCTGAGTGCAGCCCAAGAAATGTCTGTGCTACTCAGAGTCTATCATTAAGAAATCTGTGTGCTGAGGTTTTGTATGTCTTACTGCTAATGTTCAGTTTTCCACAGCTCTAAGGGCTAAAGACAACGAAGGCTACGAAGAAACATTTACTTTCTAGCTCCAAGAGGCAGTACTCTTGGCTTGAGAGGACAGGTAGGTGGTGGATTACGTCGGGCATACGACTTAGGTACTGCCAGTTTCTTACATCTCCAAAGTAGACTACATTCAAGTTTAGTATCAGCCAGGATGCCTACTTAGTTAATTTATGGAACTTGGAGCATTCAGTGTAGTTTCCTCTCTCACATTTTATCCCTGTGTTTTTCTTCTTAGTGGTTCATAATATAAAATAACGATGGGGCTTAGATGAGCCGGGACACACTGTAGAGCCCTTTGGCCGTTTCTAGATGTCGCATTAAGTGGGATGAGCTGGCCAGAGCAAGGCTGTTTTCATGCTGTCTGCAGAGTCACTGACTGCTTACTATGAAAAGCTATGGTTGAACCACTCTGAGGTGTTCTTTGTGTGTTATCCATGTTTAAAAATTAGGAATGAAAGATATTCCCAATGATGTAATTATACATTCTATTTTATTTTTTTGCCAAACAATTGTTCATTTCAAATCTTGGCTTCTAGAAAATACCTAAATGTGTAGGAAAGGAGAGCTACGGGGGAGGGGCCCATGTAGGCAAGAGGTACGGAACATAGAGACGAGGTCAGTTCCAGCTCAAAGTTCACAACATACAAAGAGTTTATTTCTGTAATACAGACCTCATCTCAGATATTTTTTCACAGAGTCCCATACAGCAATCGACTAGAAAAGCAGAATTATACAACACCAAAAGAACGTTGTGTCTTGGTACAAATCACTAATCAAAAGGAAGGGAGAGGTGGCTCAGTAGGGAAGTCAGGAGCAGCTTTGGTGCTCACACGACTTTCTGAGAAAGCCAAGGCTGCAAGGCCAGAACATTTCCATCCTTTCATCTTGTGCTATGAGGGTGACAGATCAGGAAAAACGACAGCTAGTTCACACTTGCTAGAACTTAGATCCTTTGTTTACCACACAGAAGAACAGGCTCCCCTAAAGCATCACTTTCTAGGCCTAAAACATGCTTGAAGAAGAAGAATATAGAAATACTTCGAGATAGTTTAATTTACATTTGTCATAATTTAAACATTACTATTTAAATCCCAGAAATTTTAACATTAAAGAAACACAATTGTTTGGAAAAATACAGAACTGAAAGTACAGCATAAAATTCCCCACCCCAGTATTAGAACTCATTTCCCTGCTGTGAAAATTCTCAAGATTACAGGTCCATGGGAAATGTATTTCTCAGAATATAGCTAGAACAGTGGGCTTATTTGCTCCACTGTATGGTTTCCATAATTGGTGAAAATAGAGTTCTCATTATGACTAAAAATATAGAATTTTTTTAAACTACAGAACCCAGCAATCAGTTTCTGCTTTGCTGTCCCCCCCCAAAGTCAAGCAAAGTCTACAAAAATAGCAATTACATTTTAAAAATATTTTGCTCAGTCAAGCAAATTTAAGTTACATTCAGGTGTGGTAGCTGGGGTCCTCCCCTGCGCAGGGCTGACGGAGGGGGTCCCCTCAGTAGCGGGTTTGGTATTCGTGATGCCACCGGTTGAAGTCATTGTAGAACAGGACGATGCTTCCCGAAGCCATGCCGGAAATGATGCACCTGCAGGAGGTCAGAGGGAGGGTTGACGCATCCTTGTTTCCAAGGCTTTGCTACTTTGTCCGCACCCTGACAACCCCGGTGGGAGACCTCAGTTTGGGAGGAGGTTGGTGGCTCGGGACTGAGTGAGCGCGGGGCTGCCTCAACCCTGCACAAGGAAGAGCACAGCTGGCCACTCCATGTGCAGACCCGTGCAGCCAGCTGTGTAGAGCCCCTGGAGCCCACCAGACCTTGTCATTTCAAAATCAAAAGAAGCTACCAGGTCACTACTGGTGGCAGCCACAGCACCGGCTGCTGGTGCACAGATGGCACTGCCAGGTGTGTTGGTAGAGAGGAAGGAGGAAGAGCATTAGCAATCCACTGGGCCAGGGCCTGGTCCCCATAACACAATGACTCAGTGTAGAGATCCCTACCATGGGAGCTCCCACTGAGGACAGCAGCAGCATGGAGACTGGCTGGGGAGCCATGTGGCACCCGTGACCACCCAGGGCCTCTGTGCTCTTTGCATCCTCCTGCCTCAGTCTCCCACAGTGCAGGGTATGCACGTGCTCCTCCAGACACGGCCTGAGAGATCGATCCTGCAGAGGCTCTGAGGGCCTTCTCTCAGTAGTTTGTGAGGGTTAGCCCTTAGGAAGTTACAGCCAGCGCCTTCCTAGGAAGCTCGGCGCTGCATGTGTCACTGCGGAGAGTCAGCACAGGAGGAGGTGTGCTGCCACGGCACGCAGAAGTCCTCAGACATGTACACAGAATAGAGGCCAACCAAAAGGCAGAGATGAGCACAATGGATAAGAAACAACCTTGTACCACAGACTGTCTAAAACAGTGTTGATGTGGCACAGTAAATGGTAACTCAGAGACCTTAAGTCTAGCATCCAGCAAAGCAAATTAAGTCGAAGACTGTTGCAAAAGACAAAGGCATTACATGTGCCCACAAAAAGAATTCATTTGGAAAATATTAAAAATTATGTACATTAAACATCTGAATCTCATGACACATGGAGTAAATACTGGGAGAATTGAAATAGCTTTATGATAGATTGGTAACTTGCAGTAATGAGTGGAACAAGACAGCAGACAAGGAGCTGGAGGGCCTGAACAGTGTGAGAGGCTGGCTGGACCTAACACGTATGTGCAACCCACCCACCCAACAGCAGCAAAAGGTACAGTTTTCTCCAGTGTGCAGGATCCACTGTAGTACAAAGCATGTGTCACTTCAAAACAAGTCTAAATGATTTCGTATGACTGAAATCATAAAACTCTCTTCTGATCATAACAAGTAAACTGGAGAATTCACGAAGTTGTAGAACTTGAACGTGTTTGCTTGCTTTCACTCTGAGCAAAGTACTTGAGAAAGTCAACCTAAAAGCACTGTGGTCAGCTGGTTCAGAGGCTGAAGCAGCACAGCAGAAGCCTGAGGGGAGGGCTGCTCGCCTCGGGGCAGCAGGGAAGAGCTACAGAGGAGGCCTGGGCCCAGTGAAGTCTATTCTGGCTTAGAGAGTGCCCCCCACCCCCAATGTGGTCATAGGCAGGGTTTCAGAGGTGGCTGGGTCTACAGTGTGTGGTGTTGGGATCAAGAGAGTGTGGTTTTTAAATTAGCACATGGATTTGTCCAGTGTAGTTCTGGGTAGGATTAAGGGTGGCTCACTCTGGGTGTGAATGCTGCTTGCCTGAAGAATGTAAAGGACAGAAAGGGGGTCATTGCTGGGTGCTTGCTACTTGCTTGCTCACTGCTTCTCTGTGACACCCTCGCTGTGGCTCCCTGCCTTGGAACCAGCTGACTATGGACTGAAACCTCCACAAACCGTGAGCTACAATAAACCTTTCCTCCTTTAACTTTGGGTGTCAGGTATTTTGTCTGAGCAAAGAGGAAAGTCGCTAAGACACTCCTTCAGGTCACAAACCTGTCACCCCGCACAGACACACTCAGCTGTGTACGTCACTCAGCCGCTAGGCACCTCTTAAGCCAACCAAGGTGACAAGATTAACCGTCATACTCAATAACAATGGATCAAAATAGAAATTAGGAGAATTAGAAAATGCCCTATGATAAAACAGGGTGCAGCAAAAGCACTGCTGGGATACAGATCCCTAGCTATAAGTACGCACTAAAGGAGGAAACCACGGTGGGAAGCTAACTTTATACCCTAAGGAACTAGAGAAAGAGCAAACTAAATCCAAAAACTGGTTCTTTGAGAAACTAAGGGGGAGGAACAAAACCCTTCAGAAATGGACTGGATGGAAATAAAATATTATTGGGGCGCTATTAGGAACAGCTACAGAATAGCAAATCCCAGAGCCTAGACGAAACAGACAAGTTCTTAGAAACAATATACCAAAACTGACTCATGAATAGAAACTCTAAACAGCTGCACAGAGGTTGAATCAGTAATAAAAACTCCCACTAAAGATTTTGGGGCTATTTGGCTTCACTGGTGAGTGCTACCAAATACACAGATGGGGGAAGCCCTAATCCTTATAAAATTCTTCCAAAAATGGAAGAGAGCACTTCCTAACTCTTGCAGCTCTGGGGTCAGAGAAGGAAGCCACCCTACACTGTACATCGCAAACCAACATCCCTTATGAATACAAATATTTGCCTTGCAGAAGAGCAGCAAGCGAAACTCACTAGTGTAGTAAGGGGTTATGCACGGCGGCGACCGCGTGAGTCCCCCTGATCTGAGGCAGATTCAGTATGTGAAAATCAGCATAATACGTTAAGAGAATAACCAGAAAACACCATGTCCTTTCAATTGCTACAGAAAAGGCATCTGAAAAATATTTCCATTATAAACAATAGAAAATACTTCAAATAAAAAAGAGCATTTATGAAAAACCCACATCTAACAGAGTAGGTACCTGAAGATTTGCCTCTATCATGAGGAACAACAATAAGAGTGCTCATTTTCACCACTTTTATTCAGCGTGGTACCTGAAGTCCTACACAGAAGACTTGGCAAGAAAAAAGTGTCTAAATTAGAAAAAAAAAAAAAAAAAAGGTCACAGGTGACATGACAATATATGTGGGAAATCCTACTGATTACATGCACACCCGAAGTTAGTAAATGCAGTCAGCAAATGAACTATCGGCAAGGAAAATGAGCAGTTCCACTTACAAAAGTATCAGAATAGGAATGAATTCAACCAAAAAAAAAAAACACTTGTAAACTGGCAACTATGACACACTGCTACAAGAGACCTCAGTAAATGGAAGCCCTGCGTGTGCATGGATTTGAGGAGCACGTCCAGATACTGCAGTACTGACCCACGTGATCTCCAGGGTCACTGAAGCTCCTACCACAACTGCTTTTCCCCAAGAACTAGGAAACCCATCCTAAATTTTACACAGAATCCCGGAATCCCAAGTAACCAAAACAAAGTTGAAAAGGAAGAGAACAGTAGGAGGCCTAACATTTTCTCACTATAAAACTGTAAAGCTACAGTAATCAAGACACAGCAGAGAGGCCAATGACAGCACAGAAAAGCACGCTCCCAGGTATGCGGCTAATTTTCCCCAGGTGCCAAGACCATTAGTGAAGGAAGGACAGCTTTGTTGTTGTTGTTGTTGTTCAACAAATGGTGCTAGGCAAAGTGAATATCTATGTGGAAAACTATGAGTGTGGGTCTTCACCTACCATTATGTAGAAAAATTAACCTAAAATAGAGCAAAGGATGAAAAGACAGAATTACTAGTGAGAGACTGCTTCGACTCCACAAGGGGAGCCAACGTCTACACACAGAATTGGGGGCTGGGGATTTAGCTCAGCGGTAGAACACTGGCCTGACAAGCTCAAAGCCCTGGGTTTGGTCCTTGGCACCAACTTCCCTAAAAAAACATTTTCAGCCAAAAAACCCCAAGGGAACTAAACACAGAACTGAGCTCATGCTGATGGGCAAGCAGGGAGAGCAGTAGCCGTGCACTGCTGGGAGGGGAGAGGGCATTAAAAGAGCGGGGTCTCTGGAGAAGAGCTCGGGAATGCCCCAGAAACCCAGAAGACAGGATTACCAAATGCCCGGCAGCTCCACTCCGACATACATGCCGAAGGATCTGTAAGGAGGGGCCTATGTGGGAGTTTGTTGGTCAATGTTCACAGCAGATTATTCATAATAGCCCAAAGTGGAAACAACCCCAGTGCCAAAGAGGAATACAGATGAGGCGCATCCCAACAACAGAGTCTTAGCCTTGGGAAGAACGGGCCTCTGCCACCACACAGCACTCTGCAAACATGCTGACGAGGCAAGGCTGGCCGAGGAGGCGCTGCAGCATCCACACCCACAAGGTGCCCAGAAGCACAAAGCCTCGGTGAGGAGGCCAGCCGGGGACTCGCCGTTTCTACAGGGGCGCTGGAAAGGCTTTGCGTGGAAGGTGTGGGCGGCTGGGCAGCGCCCTGCACATTCACCCTGACGCTGACCACTGCAGGCTGCTTCGGGAACACGCTGCACACGTGTCGCCACAACAGTAGGACTGCTTATTAAAAGGAAGTAAGATGCCAGATAAAGACTATCCTCCAAAACTTATGACGGGGAGTTTTAGGACAGACATATGTTGGTTCAGTGGAGGACCCAGGGACAAAAACAAAGGGGTTTTTCCTTTACCCATAGTGGAGACCTTGGCTCCTGCCTTACCTCTGGTCGTAAGAGAGGGCCATGGCTCGGATTCCTGCGTCGCAGCCTGGGTAGGCAAAGAGCTGCCTGAGGTCAGACACCTGCCACACCCTCACCACACCGCTGTCTCCTCCTGTGAGCAGGTACTGCCCATCCCGGCTCAGCTGCATGGCCTGTGAGAGATGTCAGTGGTGTCAGATGTGGTCTGTGGAGAAGGGCCCCTGCTAGAGGTCGTCAGCCTCGGGATCCCCGGCCACTACTGTGCTAGAGCGGGGAGTGACCCTGAGCGCTCTCGGGAATTAGACTAGAGGAATGCTTGCCACTTGGCAGAAATCAAGTGGACTAGGTAAGGCCGTGCCTGCAGCTTTCTTTTGCTTTTCAATTTCTGCTTTGTAGGATGGAGTCAAGGAGGCTCCGGTTCTATAAATGCTGGCTGGACAGTGTGGGGCTGTGGGTGGCACGGGCACTCCCTGCATGCCACGGTGTGCTCCTCACACGCCATGCCACACTCGCCTCCCGGGGCTGTGGGGAAAGGTGCTGCCATGCAGAAGGCAGCTCCAGTCTGTGCCCCACTCAGCGCAGCTTGGTCCTGCAGGTAGGTAGTGCTGCCGCCCACAGCTCCAGGCAATGGCCTTGCCCCCTGCCTCAGAGCGGAGAGTGCAGACTTGGAACTTGTTCTTTGATCCTGTCAAACAGGCGCTCTCAGATGAAGGCCTGTGGTTTTAAGGCAGAACACTGCTGATCCCTGGTTTGCTGCCTGGTCTTACATCTTTTAATGCCTGGGGGAAAGTAATTTGTCATGACACAGGGATAATGTGGGTTTCAAATCTGAATGCTCTGATAGACCGTATCAGGACCTAGCCGCACGAGGCTTCATGGGAGATCCAGTGGGGGACACAGAGCCTGGGAAGCCCGTGGTCCAGCCCAGCTCGCCCTTCCTCTCCATCTCTCCCTAATTCCACACAGGTCCTTTTCCAGGGGGACAGCGCCTGCCTGTCCTGTTCACATGGGTGTGGTGGCCATGGGGATCCAAGCTGTGCCAACAGCCAGGAAGAACAAGCTCTCATTTTTGAAAACTATTTGTGCTGTTCTGCACTTAAGAGTTTTAGTATAACTATATCAGGCCTTCAATTTATACTTTAAAAATTTTCAAAAAAATTATAGAAAAATTGGTGCTGTGGGGAGATGGCTCAGTGGCGTAAGTGCAAGGTCCTGAGTTTGATCTCCGTTACAAAATGAAATGAAACGAAATGGAATGAAACCAGACCAGACCAGAAAAATTGGTGGTGTCTCATACCCACTCAACTCACTGAAATGGCAACAGCAGTCAAATATGTAAAATACAAAAACACAAACGCATCTAAGAAATAATCTACATGTTGTAGACAATTGTAAGATGTATCCTCTAAGTCTCTGTAATATGAATGAAAGTATCTTTCCTCATTCATCTCACACCTAGCAAACTCGGAGGTACCTGGAAAGTGCAATGAAGACTAGACAATAATTATTTGCTACACTTATAAAATTCAGCTGATGAAAATCCATTAACCTCATGGTTGCGGTTCACTTGAATTTTAGACTTGAGGCTTTTTAATGGATAAATGGTATATTAAAACCATTAATCTTTTAAGTCTTTGTTCTAGTAAAGAAATCTTGAATTCTACTTTTATCTGGAATGAAAGAAAGCCTGGATTTTCAGGGCGGTATTCAAAATGAAGCAGGTACCTTCCAAGGTGCAAAACTCGTGAGATCTCTGAGCTTGCTCTGGCTGCCAGAGCCGAGGTGACGACCACTTGCGGGTGGTCTTAATTCTAACACGTCTCAGATGCAAGCCAGGCTGAGACTAGCAACCATAAGGGTCCCCTGGAGATGGGCTCATCTCCTCTGAATCTGGTGTTCCAGAGGACGCATGGCTGCCTTGGATTTTAGGAGGTAGCTAAAGGCCAATGCAGTCTGTTGGGAACAACCACAGTCTAACAAAGCCCAAGGAAAAGACAACAAGAGTCCCTGTGGGTGAAACAGTGGTAATCCTTTATGATAATACAACTTCACCGCCTGGCCAGGCTGCCTATTTAAGTTGGAGTTGTTCATTAAGACATCTAAACCTTGTCTCATGCACTGTGTGTGATATGCTATTAGCCAAAATGCCACTGAGCAATCTGCTCCAAAACAGACAGGGCACTGCGACTGGCACAGAGCTTCCCCAGCTGCCTGCAGGGGGCTTGGTACTTCAAAGAAACTCACTTCTGGCCTGGGCTGGTGACTTGCTCTGCGCTCCTCTTTATGTGGCGCAGGATGCAGCTGGGGCGCAGGGTTCCCAGCCGCAGCTCCCTCCGTGGAGGGCTGGGACAGCGGCAGGCTCTGGAGCCAGGCAGTTAGTTGGTATTTGGAGGACACCTCGATTTAATCACACAGTCACCACTTGCAAGATAGCAAGATAAAGTTTGGGAGTGCTGGGGGAAGCTGGGGATTGTTTAGGCCTGAGATGGGGGGACTGGGATATGACAGATGGAGACTGGGAGCTGCAGGGCAGACAGCAGCTCCGTGAGGGACCAGCCCTGATCCTTGGGATTGACAGAAATGGTGCAGTGAGGGCTGGGGCCAGGAAGAATTTCAAGTTTTCACAGATTTATTAGTGCAGCTGACAATATAATCACAACTGACAGTGACAGATTATCAGCATTATGACTATAAAGAAATGAGGAAAAGAAAACCCTCTGATGTGTGCTTGGTTTAAGTGAAGTACAGGAAAGGGAAAAACCAAAAGCGTGTCTGGTGGATGCCCGGAGGCCGCGGACAGCTGGGGAGATGTGGGAGGGCACGCTGGGCCAAGGGGCCTGGGCCTGTGCTGGGAGCAGGCGACCTGTGTGGGGCCTCGCTCCCTGATGTCTCCATGCTCACCCCCACATGACCCGGGCTCCCTCACCTTATGCGGTCACGTACACCTCAAGCCCTTGCTGGAAGCAGCAGCATCACAACGCCCTGTCCCTACGCTGCACCCGCAGTCAAGGCAGATGGGGCAGCCCTGGAGGGCAGTTCCCAGGGGCACAGCCACTTTCCCTTCAGCCTCTGAACTCTCAGGAGCCCTGTCCTGCAAGGCAGGACCCAAGAAGGCAGCGGCATGAGCACTCCTGTGTACTGAAAGGGAAGGCGCCTGCCTGTCCGCAGCACAGTGTGAGGCCTGCTGCCTCAACCTGGCCTGGCCGGTTTTATCATCTGCGTAGGAGTCCGTCTGGCATCAGCAGCTAGCTAGCATTATCAGTCCTATGCTGCCTAGTAAGTGTGCAGAGGGCTGGGGTAGGTGTGATCGATGTTAGCTTTGATATTCAGCAAACAGTAGGCAGTAAATGTCCTTAGGTTAAAAAAGATGTGCTGCCAGTGGAAGCCGCCAGCCGGCTTCCCAGGCCCGCAGAGGACCCCTCCACAGCCTACACTGTGCACAGTGCCCGGGGCCCCACTGCTCCTCGGGGGGCACAGCCCCCAGGTGGGTTTCTCCTGTGGGCCCTCCCCTCGCTTGCTTGCCACCCATCAGGGAGGAAGCCTGTGGCACTCACCCTGATGTTATCGTCCGTGCCCACGCTGGCCTGGAGGGTGCCGTTCACGCTGAATGCACAGAAGTGGCCGTGCTCGTAGAAGATGACGCAGTGGCCCTCTCGGGAAGCCTGGATGAGTTTTGGTCTCAGGCAGTTTTCCGGACCCTCCAGGGTTCTCAGCAGGTCTCCATTCATGGAATGTATGAGGCATGGTCCTTCTGCAAGGGGGGAGAAATGAAAGCCAAGTTCACCGTGGAACGAGTTAGTTCAGCGTGTGAGCTGGGGCACAGCTCGTGCTTGACGTGGCTAAGCTCTCCACTCAATCTCCACGACGGAAAAAATACAACAGGCCAATGTGATCTGAGTCTTCAGTGTGTGCTGGGGGCAGTGGTGAGGGACTGGACCCAGAGCCTTGATGACGAACTACACCCCCTTTTAGTTTTTGAGACAGTCTCACTAAGTTGCCCAGGCTGGGCTCCGGCTTGTGATCTTCCTGCCTCAGCCTCGCAGGGTGCTGGTTACCAAGCCTGGCTGTGACCTGAGTCTCAGGCACAGATAATGTCAGAACCTCAGGGCCATGCTGCATGTGAAGGTTCCTGAAAAACTACCATCTTGCACATCACGTCCTCCTCATGTCTGCCAGCCCTCAGCTTCCCGGCAAGCGGAGAGAAGCTGTATCACAGACATTCGAGTTCACTTCTCAAGCCACAGACCGGAAGTTATTCACGAAGTTCATTATGCCAGGAGGTACAGTGAACTGGAAGAAGTCAGAGGAGGATGGCTTTGAGACCTGAACAGCTGTAGGGTCAAGCATGCATGGCCTCTGTCTGCAACTCGTGGCCTGGGCCTGGTGCACCTGTGGGCAGCTCCTGAGGCCTGAGCTGCCTTTTCTCCCTACTCGCCACTGCACCTGACGGGGAGCCCGGTAACCCCCTCACCCTCACAAAATAGTTCACAAGGCTCCTTCTGTGTCTGTTTCCCTGCTGTCCCCAAAACAAGCAGTAGTGCCCAGCAATGCCCATGCACATCACAGCGCTCCTGGTTCAGAGCATCTGCCACATGCAATGCAGAGGGCTGGGTACCAGGAACTACCTGTGTGTGACTACGTTCCCTAAGAGGACAAGCCAGACCACTGGGCTAGCTGGCATGCCCCACTACTTCCCTGCCCGCTTTGCTTGAGGCCACATGGGACCCTTTCTTGCTCCTTGCATGGCTACTGAAAGCAGCCTCTGGAAATACGGCTCTTCGGGGAGTGCAGAGTTTGGTGCTCTCCAATACAGATACAGCAGGCAGTCCACTTGGGCCAGCGCCAGCCTGCATGAACTTTCAGTCATCTCCTCAATGTCTCGAGGCACCCCAGCAGCACAGCTGCACATTTAGTTAGCATATCCATTGCACAGCACACTAGCCCCTCAGTCCACAGGCTGCTACAGGACACCGTGCACCTCCAGTGAGGAGCAGGCTCATCCCCTCTCCCACAGCAGGCAGGGGACGGGAGCCATGATCTGTTCAGAGCATGCCGGACGGCAGGTGCAATAACTGTGCTGCTTCCTCGTCTCCTGGAGTAAACTTGGATGGCGCTTTACAAAAATAGGCTTCAGGAGTGGGTTTTAGCCATCAGAGATGGAACTTGGAGAAATGAAAGGTGAAAAAGCTGAGAGTGAAATCTCAACTGAATATAAGCACAGGAGAAATAGTTGCTACTGCGATGTGGACAGCACCGGGACCAGAGGAAGGGAAGTGGTTGTACCAAACCTCATGGGGTGACACCAGAAGGGCTCACATTTAGGACTCCAGAGGACATTTCATGGTGCTGAAAGCACAAAGGGTAAATGACAGGAAGCTGGTGCAAACCTAAAAAGGGGAGGGCGCTCCCCGGTCCTGGAAGAGCGCTCAGCCATTGGCGCTGCGGAGACAAGGCGATGGGCACTGCCCACATCACCCTGAGGGTTTTCACAATGAAACACAATGCTTTCATTCCCAGTGCTTCAAATTGTAGGGTACTAAATACCTGCTTTCCAGTCCTTTGTGTTCTCATACACACCCCTCACACCTGCTTTCCTGTCCTTCATGTCCTCATACACCTCACACCAGCTTTTTCAGTGTTTTAACAAAAACGCTTAGAGGCTGTGGAACGACCAGGCAAGGCCCCACTGACTGGGACATCTGGTGTGGCCTGGGCTGCCCTGCCCCTGGGACCGCCCGCCACATACAAAGCAAGGTGGCTGGAGTCCCATAGTCACCTGCGTGTCAACTCTGGATCCCATGTAGTCCAAGCACTCCTATTAGCTCAGGACACATGACATGACTGGGCACCGCAAGGAAACAATCTAGTCCTCAGAGAATTTCTTTGGTATCCCATTTCACTGATCAACTAAATTTTTAAGCACAATGCTTTTAAATTTTACTATGTCGTGTTAGCCAGACTCTTATAGTTGGAGACAGAGATAAGGTGACTCTGCTACCTCGCCAGGTAAGCCAGAAGACATGAGATCAGGTACTGTTTTTGTCTCAGGAAAGAGACCCAGAGGTGGACAGATGATTCCAGAGAAGGAGCACTGGGCTGGAAGTAGCCCTGCTCCGGAGCAGATGCGGATCTGTCACCTGTGCTCCTGGAACACTTGCTCGAGGGCTCTGGCCCAAAGCTGCAGGAGCAAGAGTGCTCCCGCCCAGCCGACTTTCTCCTCCCTTCTTGGTGTCCCTCTGGCCCTTGCCTAGGCCCTGAGATTTCAGAGATGGGATCAAGAGTTTCTGTTTAGGGGTGAGATGGAACCCAGTCCAGTCAGAGGACAGAAAAACAAACAAATACCAAGATGTGCCTTGTTCCTGCCTCATGGAAGTGAGAAAATTCATGGGCTATTATTTTAAAACACGTGAAACCCTAGAGCAGTGCTATGAAGTAATTTTCTACAGCAATGGAAATTCTGTACCTGTAAGTCTAATACGACAGCTACTGGCCATGTGTGAGCATTCCGCACTTAATATGTGACTACAACCACTAGGGACTTAACTGTATTTAATTTCAGCTAATTTCAACTTAACCCTATGTGGGTAATAGTTACTATAACAGGCTAAAGTTTTTGGAAAAAAGGAATCAACTTTATTCATGATAACTGGTTTTAGAGGACACCAAGAAATATACACCCCCTTTTATGAAGGTCCCACACTGTTACCTTGAGAGCCACTTAACACCAGACCCAGCTCTGCACAGACGGCTGCACACGTGATCTCATAGTCGTGGCCTGTCAGGATGGCCCGAGGGGTGGTGGGCTCACCTGCAGGAGAACACAGATAAGCAAGACCATCAATTTGCGTTCACACAGACTAAGTGAGACCTGCTTCTAATTCCCATCATGCTTAACCTTTTACATTACACTTTGAGAAGTTGTCAAAACTCCTATTTTAGGGTTAGATCCAAACGCTAAGCTGCACTTTGATTTTGAAGGCCACATGTTGGTACGTGTGTAGGAATCCTTCTGGATCATCAAGCAGTGGTTGAAAGTGGAGAGTTAAGAAAGACAAAAGCTGCATTCTAAAATGCTTTGGATAATTTCCAAATACTGGAAAAATCAGCCCTTCCTTTAGGTCATTTATGGATGGATAATACAAAAGGAAGCCCTTTGGCTTAACTGACATTTCAAAGACAAACATCAGGCTCTGATGACAATGATCTGATGATGAAGACAGCGACCAAGGACTCGGGGTGGCTCATAGCAGTCTCTCTCAGCTACCTGTTTTCTAACTTGTGTATTTTTCTGACGCATAAATCTTGCAGAGTACATTTTTCTAGGATAAAAACCTAAGTCCTCGCAAATAACTCTTCTGATACTAACTGCATGTTAGGGTAATAGGGTGGGGAAGGGGTCAGAGGAGTATCTAGTGATGTGAGATGTTTCCAAACACATGCACAGGCACAAAGAACAAGTCATTTGGGGTTTCGGGTCAAACCTATGCCATGAAAGGCTGAAGCACAGAGAGGGAACCATAATGTCTGATTCATGCCACATTACAAGGATCAAGTGGATTCTATATTTAGCCTGAAGAATACTAGTTTGCACTCGTCCTTTATTTTCAGTGTCTAAGGACAAAGGCACAAGCACCTTCACTAGTGAAAACAACAGGCTTCTGTGCCATCCTCAGATGATCTGGATTGGATTTATAGTATGATTGGTAACCATTCACTCAAAAAGGCAGATATGCCCAGAAGGCAGGGCACTGCCACAGCTCTGGAATTCTGTGGGAAAGCACCTGTCCTCCTGACCCCAGACATGTGGCTGTCCTTAGTACAGTCACCCACTCTGGAGATGGCCTGCTGGCCAAGTTGGGGAAATAATGACAGAAACCCACTGCCCTTCAAGGGCAAAGAAATACTGCTACAGAAGCTAAGGCAGCCTCTGCGGCAGGGGCTCCCGTGGCAGGGGCTCCCGTGGCAGGGGCTCCCATGGCAGGGGCTCCTGTGGCAGGGGCTCCCATGGCAGGGGTTCCTGTGGCAGGCTGATGGAGTCTCCGCCATTTCATACAAACTGCCTATTCTGGACGCTGGAAAGAAAGACAAGTGTCACAGAACACGCGGAGACCCATGACAGAAGAGAAGCAAGGCCTCACCATGCAGGGAGGAGCCCAGCTCTGAGTTGCTGGGTCCACCTGCCCCTGTAGCCAGAGGAGACCTGGGATCCAGCAGCACATAAAACAGCTCCAGCACGTGTACCACAGTGCAGTAACACTGCTATGTCCCCCGGTGTCCCCGGGGCTCTGGTGACTAGAGGTACTTCTGAAGGTGATTTAAGTGAAATGAAAGTCTGCCTGCATGCTTAGTGGCAAAGGGAAACCACTGACAAGGGGCTGGCTTTACTGATTCCACATTTAAAGTGTTAGAGGTCACACCCATCTTAGTTAAAAAATTTATTTAACACCTGAAACAAAAACATTTGTCATAAAACCAATTGTTTTCTGAAGAAGTCCACAGGGCTGGTGAGACAGCTCAGCAGACTAAGGGCCAGCTTAGGCAAGCATAGGGACCAGGGCTCAATCCCTAGTACTGCATGCCACACCAGCCCTGCCCCCAGGGCATGGTGAATTGGCCATGAGACCAGGCGTGGTGGCACACGCCTGTAATCCCAGTGCTGGGGCGGGGGGAGGGGGCAGGGGGCTGAAAACAGGGTGCATAGTGAGACTTTGTACCAAATACATTTAAAAAATAAATACATAAAAGTGAATTTAAGAAGTCCACAACTCTGGAGAGGATTTTAACTTTCTGTTAGTGATAATCTTTGCTACAAACTTTAGAAATATGCTGTTTTAAAAAATTAACAATACTTTAGCCCTAATTCATAGTTTCCTCTTTTCCCATGAAGTTCTAAATTTCACAAAATAGGATACAGTATTATTTTTGAAATTACTGTCTAACTACATCTACTGGAAGCTTTTTAAAATCAGCAGTACAAACTGTTATGAACTAAGGAATACATGCTGTGTGATTATTCCTATTTTGTTTGCTTTCATAAGCAACCATTATGTCAAGGGTGAGATTTGCATTGTGACTGGAATTGCCTTGGAATTCCTCAGTGAAGCTGGAGGTTTGAAGAACTGATGGCAAAGGAAAACAATGTCCACTGCAGCCAAAGTAAACAAGGGCAGATGGACTGGTACTCAAAGGACAATGTCAGCAAGCATACAATGCTTTTTGTGTTCTAAATTTTAGACTATTTTCTCAGAAGCATAGTGGATGAAGAGAATACACTGTTGTCAACTGCATCTCCTCCTTTAAACTTTGAAATACTGTACTAAGAGTTTTCTAGGGCTACAAAGTCAGAGTTTAGGGAGCTTCACAATTAGCTCTAGAAAGTGGGTTAAGATGGAAGCATTCCTTTTTGGCAAGTCATAATTAAGTTTTTATTAGTATGTTTTACTTACAAGATACTAGTTTCCAAGAATCTAAATTATGCCATGTAATTTTCACTCAAGTCAAGTGTCTCTGGCTCTGTCTGTCT